ATCGCAGGAGCACGATGGAGAGGAGACCATCGCAGGAGCACGATGGAGAGGAGACCATCGCAGGAGCACGATGGAGAGGAGACCATCGCAGGAGCACGATGGAGAGGAGGCCATCACAGGTAGGTGGCCAGGGCCCCCAAAGCCACCCTGCTACCTGCAGTGTGATCTGCGCCAGTTTGGTTACCACCAGACCTGCTGGTGTAGTCTCCTGAGAAGGACTAAACAAGACCATCTGCAAGATTGGAGACCACCCATTTACTACTACCCCGCACTAAAGCATTGGATTTTAAGTTTAATTCATTTATGAAGCACATTTCACACAATGGCAGTTGAACAAAGTACTGTATAATTGAAATAACACACATACCCATTTACTGTGCAACTAACAATGCAGTGTTAATAGCCAAAGAACAGTGTGTTTTAAGATGGGCTCTACACGTATGTAAACATAATGTTGGGGCAGCTGGATATGCAGATGGAGCGATAACTGCAAACACACAACCTCCCGTGTGCTTTAGTCTGGATTTCAGGACCACGAGGAGAGACTGACCAGCAGTCCTTACTATACAACCAAATTAAAGCCAGATAAAAAAAATACAAATTATTATATAAAGTTATCCGTCTTGTCCATACTCAACAGCACAGGCGATTGAAAAAGCTGTTATAGTGACAAAAACAGACATTTTCTGTAGCCAAGGTAATTAATAACTAGCTATTAAGTATTTCTTTAGAAATGAGAAACTGCTTCTGTATAAGATCACTGGAACAGTAATGAAATTCTGTGCGAATCCATCTTTTGCAGGGTCGGTGCTGTAACAATATGCTTCTGCCCAGAGTGATGGGGAATTTCCCAGATCAACAGAAAAACACACAGGTGATGGCAGAAAGGAATAAAACTAGGCGTTTAATCTTTAGCTACCTCTCATCTGGGTATCCCTGGCAACAGGAATACCGAGTGCCTATAACTGGGAATGCTGTGTCCCAGTCAGTTCATGAGGCAAGCTGGCAGGACACAACTGTTACACCCTGGACTTGGCTCTACAAGGCTGTAGGTTCAAATCTGATTATTGATGGATAAGGCTGATATTACCGTACCATAAAAGATACCCGAGATCGTATTAGTGTCTGTCCTTTGAGCTGCCCTGGATAACGGTGAAGCGACTGAACTACGTCATGCAATGGAGCGATGAATAAGATGGAGAGCGACGACGGGATGCTGCCCACTTGCAGGCTTTTAATTCCCCCTCAGACCGATCCAGGGCCATCACTTCTCCAGTTTCAACCCCCGTTAACGCTGCGGGAAGCTTGCGAGTCTCATCGACTTGTTTTAGGAGTCTGAACTGGCCAAGGGAATTACGCCAGTATCCCCTTTTCCTCACACCACCGTGCGGAGGGTGTTAATATAAGAGCGGACACGATTTGAAAATGAACTTTAAGAGATCCGTGACTTTTTTTTGACTAGCGTTAATTTCCCCTCTTGTTTCACAAATGATAACTACGTTTGGTTACAGTATTCTCATACAGTAACTGCACTTCACCCACCCCCTTTAATGTTATTATCTCCACCATTAAGATATTACAGACCGCAGGTAAACATGCCTGCACTGTGGAATTTAATAACTTCTCGGGATGAAAGAGGGAGCGATGTTTAAACCCGATGAAACACGAGGACAATTTTGCCCTTTTTGCTTGTATCCGCTGGTAATTAAACCATGAAAGGTGCATTATCATCAAGTCAGTCTGCCTGTCATCCAACATATGCAGTCTTCGATAAGGCCTGATTTTCACTGCCGAATACCAAAATCTCAACGCCAGTAATAAGACTGACATTATAAAAAAGCCGAATAAACTATGCACAGACAATGCACGCTTGCAGAAAAGCCCCTCCGGTCCAAACTTAAAGCTGCAGGATACAATGGCGCTCCAACAGCCTTGTCATGACTTTTATTACCCATGAAATAATACGGTTACTCGTGAACCCGGAGACATTCGACATCAATTTTACAACACTCAGCCAATGCAAACATCAAAAACCTGTAAATAACCATGCATGCAATCCCCACTAAACCTGCACTACCGCTAACTCCCGTCCATACAACTGTACAATTTATAATACCGCTTATAGAGTTACACTAGGCTTCAGTACTCGCTTAACAGGATATTTGAGAAACACGACGATGAATTACTGTACCGTCTTCCGACGTGTTGCATACGTTTAAATTCAATAAACTAAAAATGACAGAATTTACAACGAATGCAACAAAAAATAGTAAACACATCAAATTAAATGCGTGCGCTATACTAACGGGTATACAGCGGGGGATATACTGTTTCATTACAGAGGCATGCTGTTAAAAGAAGCTGGCGAAAATACCTTGCAGTCCGTCTTCTCTTCTGCAAACCGGTGTGTGATCGATGTTGTCTGTGCAGTCTGGAGTGGAGGCAATTTTTGCCTTGACGTCCCCCTTGATTTCTGATGGAATTGAACTAGAAGCCGGAGACATGCCCTCCTGTGCTCCGAAAGCAGAAAGCAGCTCATCTGTACGCCTTCTCCGGCGCTTTATTGGTTTCCACCTTTGCCAATCAATGCCGCACCAGAGCAGAACTGGCGTCTGGTAAATGTATTTGTTTCTAAATTATGATGCGTCCTTAAACTCCGTGATCCATCCAAATATGTGGGTACGTAGGGTGCAGTCTAAGATGCGTCCAGTCTATTGGCACAGTATACTTCATTTTTTTTGCAGAACTAGTGAAACGATGTCTAAATGGCGATTTCCTTCCGAAGTTAATTCCAAGTAGCTGTCAGAAAAAAAACACATCTGTCCTTTTTATGTAGCCTACAGTACATCTACAGACCGATTCATTTCCAGTTGACATGAATAGTGGGGTTCCTGGGCTCCTCCGGGAATTTTTTTCAGTCATTTGTGTTCAGATAGTAAAATGACAACTCTGACTGGCCAAATGGCGAGATTTGCATATTAGGGAAGGTCATTGAGCCCACCCGCACTAGCCTACCTCAAAACAGAAACCGAAAAAATACTTTCAGTACATGCATGGAAGGAAGTTATAAAATACCAAAAATTTATATGCATATAAATCGCCTCATGTCCCAACTTGGCTTCAGTTGAATCCATCAGTTATTAATTTCATTCGAACTACCCCTGTCAATAAAAAAACTATTATCCGATTATTTCCTTTTGAATTTAATTCATTAGGGGATTAAAACACAACAATCCATAGATCAGTCGTCTAACCCCTTATCCCGGTCAGGGCTGTGAGTAATACACAAAATTGTGTCACTGAAACAGCAATTGCTCCTACGTCAGCCGTACGTCAGCGTTTTCGTATGGATGTTTTATTAGTGGTGATTTAATACCCACTGAGGGAATAATGACCCCAATGCTTGCTCTGGTGACTGGATTAGCAGGTTACGGCTTAAATTATTCACTGTGGGCAGGGATGGCGCTTAGCCTTAACAGCCACCAGGGGGCAGAAGGCACATATTTCCTGTCCTACCATGCCGATCAAAAAGGTAGCAAAACTGAGGTCAGACGCACGAATACTTAAGGCAGGTAGCCACTAAATAAAATTTCGGGTTTGGAACCCCCACCCGCGCCCAGAATTGTTTTATTACGGATTAGGCATACAGTAAAATTATGAGTTTGAAGCCCCACCTCGTGCTTCAGCCCCCCGGTTGCCGGAATCCATGGATATGGCCCCCCAAGGTAAGCAAAATTTCACGGGAGGAGGAGCCCCCTCTGCCAGGCGGCAATAAATATAGAGTACCCACCACGGAATTTATTTCTGGCGACTCGCTTGATGCACCCGTACAGCTATCGTGCAGATATCCACCAATAAGTCATGCCTAGGTGTTTTAATGAGATACCAACTTGTACATCCTACTGAAATATCACTTCTGATGAGTCAGGTAAAAAAAAACTGACATCTTTCTGACGGTTGTGGGGAACTCTAGCCAGCCTTTTCAAACACATGGACAGATAGTGGCGGCCAAAGCCGCACAGAGAATCCATTCGGATTCATCAACTATAGCTTCTTCTTTAGATTTGCTGCTAAGTGTATCTGACATGTATCCGTTCTCTCATATGAAGAAATAAAAAAAACACCAGCAGACTGTTCCTATTTTCTATCAATCACAATGACTTAGTACCATATGCAGCTTCATAGTCTTTATCCTGTTAATCTGATATGACATTTTTATTAGGCAGCATCTAAATTTTCTGCCTTCCAATGAATGAGAATTAAAATTTCAGTCTTCGGTTTAATGTCACCAGAGTACATGTTCAGGTGTAACACAGTAGGACATGATGTTCTACACAACTTCAAATGGACAATGGGAAATACAATATTCCCATTAAGTCTGCATATCCGTTCTTTTTTATCTGAGAAGTACAGCCTGAGTCCGTTCATTTGTGTGGTTTATCTTCCAAAAAAATCACCTTACCGACTGCCAACGCTAATTTTTAAGTGGGCACACGAGGGCCCCCTTCAGGCCGTCTGGGACGTGACCGTGACACATTTTTTGTGTATAATTTTTAAATGAATCATTAATTACATAATTCTTCCATGTTGCCAGAAGTGAAAATAATATGTATTTGCATGCGCATCATGAAGCAAAACTAGGAGTTATGTGATCAGCAGCTATTGTCAACACCCAGACACTAAATAATGTTTATTTATTTATGTAGCAGAAGCTTTGTCCAAGGGGACTTAAAAGTGAGGAAAGACTGGGATCAGAGCACAGGGTCAGTTAGCATCCAGTGCCCTGTAGCACTTAGGATTAAAGACTTGCTAAAAAGTTCAATGGTGATATGTTTCCTCTGCCAATCACAGGATTAGAACCCATAACCTTCTGGACACATACAGAGACCCTTAACCTACTGATGAACACACCACCCCATGAGACATATTGAAAGATTAGTACGCTAGTCATTAAAAACATTTGTAAACGGCAGTGTGTGGCATGGGGGGCTAAATCCCTGTGCCTGGGATTGGAAGGTTGTCGTTTACCCCCTTAAGCAAGGCCCTTAACCCCCAGCCCGACGGGCGCTGCCGCGGGCGGCTGCCCTTCACTGCCAAGCTTCCTCTTACTTTTATACTGTATTTGTCTGTGTGTCACGGACAGAATTTCCCCACAAGGGATCAATGACGTGTCGCTATTATAAAGTTTCCAGAGCACTGATTTTGTTCATTTAGCATTTATATCCGATTCCTGGTCCATTAAACAGAGCTAGCGAGAACAAAGAACACGTGATTTAAACCACTTAAAAATAAAGGAAGCATGAGAACAAAACAGGGGTCATGCCATCTTCATGGATGTAATAATAATGTAATTGGTCACTGTGAAATTAAAAATATTCCAGTGCAGTAACATGCAGTTACTTTGACCAACATGCACTGCATTTTTGCACAAATGCCAAAATGTTTTTTTTTTTTTTTTACTGGAATAAGATGCAGCAGAAATGGAATAATCTGGATCCACAGAGAACAAATTTGATATAAAATACATAAATACTTAAAGGCTTCACTTTCACCATGATGTGTTGTATTAAGCGAAGCTGTCCGCGACATAAATCACTAACATGCAGGTTCAGAAATTAATAGGTGTCAATAAGAAGCAACTATATCAGGGGTGGGCAATGTTATCCACATAGGGCCGGTGTGTGCAGTTTTTTGGGATAACCTATAGGTCAGCTGTTAAAACCCAGGTGTGAGGACTCTTCATCCAATCAGTCCTCTAATTAGTAATCTAATTAGGGAGTTGCAGCGAAAACCCGCATACATACCGGCCCTTTGCGGATAAGATTGCCCACCCCTGAACTATATGGTCCTATAAAAAACAATAGCACCGCTATGAAATGTTTTCTCCACCAGATGTCAGTAGAGCATTATTAATCTGTTCTGTAGGTGTGTTGATGGGTCTTCTTCAGGACGTCTTGCTTTCAGGCCCGGCAATGACACGCTCATTTTCGTGATCTTTAGATCAGCTGTGTATATATTTTCTTCTGTAATGTATGTTCAGCGAAATTGCATCAGTGCTTGGTCGCTTATGACCACCACCTTTTTGGGTGTTTTTTTGCCGGGAGTAAAATATAGGATACAATCACCTCTCCAGATTCGCGAATCTGACATTCGAGGTTTCGGTTATTCGCGAGTTGGCCGTGAACAATTACATTTTTGGAGGTTGCCTAAAGATCGCAGGAACTTGCCAAGTTGCATAAGCCAAAATATATAAACAATAGGCCTACTGAAAATAATTTGGATCACAGAAAATTACATAATATATCAGTGGGCCAATTAGTGTCATGCAATATTTGTCAGTGTAATTGCATAGGGCTACTATATGTTTATTTAAAAGTTAATAACGGTTCCAAAACATAGTGCTCCCAGTGCGTACAGTAGTAACTTTGCACATAGGCTACAGGGGCATCATTTAGACTTAGAGGATTTATAAAAAGGTCTAGATGGAAAATGCCAAAGTAATTTGACATACAAAGCGTACAAGTGCAGTACTGCTTGTTTGTAAACTGGTAATAAATAGACTTTATGCTATCGTTCAGGCTAGCAGGTTGTTATGGGCTGAGGGGGGGCGGGACAAGTATTATTCGCAAATTTTCACATTAGCGGGGATATTCCGCAGCTAAAGTGACGGGGGGTTTGAACTTGGTATTTAGTTTCCTCTGTCAGAAATAGCAATTTTTTTCAACTACTGTAAGACATACTTCAGTTCCGCTTGTCAACTGTATTGTGTTTTATATTATTTTATATTTTTGTATTTTATATTTATATTAAATTTACTACTATGCATGAACATTTCAATATTTGATTTATTTTGGCTTTCCAAGATGTACATTTTTGAAATTTTACAAAAATGACCAGCCTGAAGACAATCGGAGGGATGGGGTTTCGCGCACTGCTTTGTTCTGAGAGGGGCGCTGTTTACACGGACCGGCGTGTCTGAAAACGTGATGCAGGCTCCTCTCAGCTGCAATGGTTTCACCCGGCCAGGTATATAGCCACGCGCTGGCCGGGATGATGCAAAAGTTGGCCGCGCGCGCTCCACCGCACGAAGTTCTCCGGGTCTCACGTGAACGTAAGAAACATCTATGCTTATGTTTCAGTTGATGATTTACTGCAGTTCAGCCAGTATTAGAATGTGGATTTCATGAGTTGTTTTTAAAGTACGTACCCACCTGTTTCTGTCTTTGGCTTCATGAAAGTGAGCAAAGATGAATTCTACAGCGTTCAATGAAACGGACACTGGGCTGTTTTCCAACAGGAGCGACGGGATTTTCAAATGTTGTAACTTCTCATCTATAGTGACCGATGACGGCTTTGTTGCAGCTGCACCAGATGAGCGAAGTCTGTTCATCATGAGGGTTGTGCAAATCGCTGTCATGTGTGTCCTCTCCCTGACGGTGGTGTTCGGCATCTTCTTCCTGGGATGCAACTTATTAATAAAATCGGAGGGAATGATCAACTTTCTGGTAACGGACAGGAGACCATCCAAAGAGGTCGAGGCTGTCATAGTGGGCGCGTATTAGCTCATGCCACTTCTGGATCCCGGGATTTCCCCTCGACGACCGAGTGCCGCTGCCGATCCAGCTTGGCGATCCAGTGAGGAAACTGACGGCACCAGGGATCCAGTGTGAAGTGCTGACTTGGACAGAAAACTCTCGAACCTGAGTATCAGCGCGATCGAACGCTTTGAGACACTAATTTGAAGTTATTTTCCTGGGATTCATTTTTCTTTTTTCCTCATGGCTAAAGCTTATCTATTGAGAATGTTATACGGTTCAACGGACGAAAGCTCAGAAATAAAATTACAGCTGTTCTGAGAACAATTGATATCATTCGAAACCTCAAATAATCTGACTTAAGTTTCTCTTTAATGTTTACCGAAGCGTTGATTAATACAGATTTTTTTTGTCCTTTTTGCGAAAGCAGCGGTGTCCTAAATGTTGAAACGTGGTTAATTTTTCTCGCATTTTCATTAATATGCAAGGACAACGCTTCCTTCGATTTAAGCGTGGCACAGGTTCAGCAGCTATGGCCTTTGTTACTAATAATATATTATTGCACGGATGATGAAATGTAATGAAGTTATGTACCCTGTCCCTTTTTAATAAATGCATATTAGAATTCAGTTTAAATCTTTCTTTGGAAGTAATTAACTTTTGCAGCGATTGCTTCAACAGAAATCAACGTCAATGCATTTATTGTTGATGTTTTTAATTGATGTAATTAAATTATGACATGAGGGGATGTCATTAAAGTTTCATATTATGTTTTAAAACAATGAACAGTTTGCACAAATTGTTAATTTGGAAACTGACAATGTTATTTGTTTTAAATACCATTATGGTTAAAACTGACGATGCTTCCACGACTTAATTACCAGTGACATTCAGCTTATATTTAAGGGCGCGTACGGTTTTCTCAGTGCCAAACTCAAACCGTATCGTTTTTTCAAGTCAGTGGTTAGATACAGTATGTAACAGTAGCCGTCATAACTGTCTTTGCAACATTCCCAAAAATGTACATGTTCTTTTGTAAATGAACAGATGCTGTTGGGAGTATTTGATTCCATCTCCCTGCTAAGAAGTCTATATAGGCTCCATCACCCCGCTTCTACACTTCGTGGGGGGGGGGTTATCCACCTTCTATTGAACGGCCTTGTCCTTTTAGCCGCTTGCGCACGTTCGCCCAGCAGCAGTGGAGACACGAGAAAACTGTCGCACGGCAAGCGAGAGACCGATATAAAATCACCACGGTTGTATCGAATGCCATCCAAGTGAGATCATTGCTAATCACCTTATTTTCCAAATGGCTGAAGCATGTTTTGGAAAGCTGGGCCCGGTCAGCTCAGAGCACTCGTGGATATTGATAGAAATTTCATGCTTTTTGAAGCTGCGAAAAGCCCATCCCGTTGAGCAGTCTTGTGGCTAATTGACATACGGTTTTCTGAGGACCACCTATCATGCTCGAGACTTACGGCTAGAATAGATCAGGGCAGCCAAAGGGATGTGAGTAATGAGAAGACTTCAGATACCGACCACGTTATGCCAAATGTACTTGACAGTGCAGCCATTAGATTCCATCTATGAACATTTAAATTGTTACCAAAATTAGGAATTTGTTACTTTAAAGTATGTTCATCTTTTCGTGCAATGCAACATAAGACAAGATTTTCTAGCGTTCACCGGATATTTCCTTTTCGTACTCAGTCCACTCTTGCAAACTTCGACTCTGAGCAGACAGTCCTATTCTCTGTTGATCTGTCTGCCACATTCTGCTGTCTACATTTAGCGAGTCCCGACACAGGCTAATCTTGCCACCACTCCCGATACCTGCCATTTTGGAGCAATGTGACTCTTTCACACAGCAGCTGAAACCCCAAGTATGACAAGGGCGCTGGCAATTACTGATCGCAACCGAGACGACACCCTCAGTGGGAAGGATCACTGAACACAGGTGTTACCTTGTCATAATTAACACACCAATAACAATTTAATCAAGTCGAAATAGATATTTGATTAATTTCACTTGTAATTAGAATTTATACGGCAAGTATTACGTGGAGCTTTGGTTACTGAACCAAATTGCTGCCCAGTTTAGGACAGACTGTCGTTTGGGTATCACAGCGTTGAGTAGTTACTCAGGTACAATCCCAAATTTAATATGAGATTTTACTGTTATTGTTAAGAGACCTGTTGTTTGAAATACGGATGACTAAATTTATATGTTTTGATAGGAGTAAAAGGGGAAAGGACGCCGTGTCCCGTCAAACAAATTAACAGTTATATATTTCCGTCTGTGGGCAATTAACTATAATGTTCACGGAAAATAAAAATGTTGGAAAAATTAAATCGATATATATATATATTTTTTTTTTACTATTTCTTCCAAGTTTCTCGTCATATCATTTAAAAAAAATCTCATGGAGGCTTCGGACCACAGTGGAGCGGTTTGGAGAGCTGGCACTATCTCATATGAACTGTAGGGAACATGAGTCCCTCATGAACATGAGTCTTCACCGTTCGTTGACTACATGAACCAGGAACTGCGTCTTGTACTGCAAGAGGGAGCATTTCCGGGGGTTGAACTGCAAGTCTGTGTCGTGGATGGCAGGGAACATGGTGCGCAAGTTGCTGATCACTGGTCAATGTGGGCGAGCACATTGCCCAGGTGGATGGTGCCCTGGTTCTGTGGGACTTGCTGCATCATCCTTTGGAATGTGGCCAGGGCATTACTTATGGCCAAACCCGGAAGTGCCACAGACCCTGAGCAATGGTGAATGCAGTCTTGGGTTGGGCATGTGGGCCCAGTTGGACCTGCCAGTATCACTTTGGAGGTTTATGGAGCTGAACTACATTGATCAGGTGACGTGATTTAGTGCATCATCAACTGGGGGAAGTGGATGCAAACACTTTAAGGTCAGTGTTCAGGGCACACAAACCCCAACCCAGAGCCCTTCCTTCCCCTTAACCAGGACTGCCTGTGTAGCCCATACACTACTGCTCTGCTCAATGACACCTGCTGCCACCATCTCCTGGATCTCCTGCACTGCCACAGGGTGACGGTGGTCCCTCGCAGCTGAATGTGCTCATGGTGTTTATGCCTTGATAAAGGCATGGAGGGCCGGCTCTCCCTGAATGGCTCGGCGAAATTGTAGGTGACCCCACCATGCACAATTGAAGAGATCTATGACAAGCACACCTAGACTCGCTCTCCCCTCTCTGCCAACCCACCAGTGTCTCCCTGTGGTCTCTTCCAATGGTGAAATACCGCTTCAGTGTTGCACCCAGAGCGACACCACCCCACTGACCGTGTGGGGTAAGGCCGAGGAGGACCTGAAGTGCCAGCAGCAGGTGGAGCACCCCCTCTGTGGGGAAGCCTTTGGTGTAGGTATGGCTCCAGGAGACCGTTTTCGCTGTAGGGTTTCTAATTATATCTTTGTGGGGACTCTATTCATTTCTATGGGGAAAACTCTAATCCCAACATGACGACCTTAACCCCTAACCAGCCCTAACCTTAACCGTAAGTAGCCAAACAAAATATGATATTTTTGGCATTTCTAGTATTTTGATTACATTTGCAGATCTTTGTGAGGACCTGAAAAATGCCCCCCACAATGTCAAAATAACAGGTTTTTATTACATTGTGGGGTCACTGGATCCCCACAATGTAACATATATCTGGACACAAACACACACGCACACAAATACACAGACCATGGTAAGACATCCGACACATTAAACTACAGATCAGACATGCTAACGCGGCGTTGCAAGGCATGCCGGGAGCCTGAATAATGAAGTTCTCGCTGACCCACCCCGAGGCGTCCCAGTATTGAGTACTCCGTAATTAGCTTTTAATGCAGTGATGCCACTGCGACCATATTTTTCAGACAGAATGTGACAAATTGGTGTGTTTTTGCAACTCCCGAGGCCTGTATTAAATGAAGTCTCAGGATTGCAGGGTTTTGACAGAGTAGCACAAGTCAGACTATTTATACCAGCACTGAAAATGTGGTATGTTTGCACTGATCACACTGAATAATGTTTTAATTCTCTATCAACTGCCAACGTATGTCAGACTTTCTCTCTTTTCGCACAGGATGACGACAATGCAAGATTTTCGCCTGCATGTTTTCTCGCATTCTGCACGTTTTAAAATACATTTAAACGCAAAGTTATTTTTATTCACAGAACATTTAAAATTAAATAACCATAAAAACTGAAGGAACACCATGCACAAGCTCTCCAACAGATTTCATTTTTAGTAACCACTCAGCTATGAACCAATATAAAATTAGTTTTGTATCACTGTTTGCAAACCCCACAACAGCTACCTCAATAGCTAATGCTATTTTTAACATTTGAGGAAAATAAAAAAAATCACCTTTCAAGTTTATAAAATTGTTGCTAGTTTGGTAGGTCATATGTTCTAATGCTCTCCTTCTTAATGCTCTTATTGAAATTTATGGTGATAAACCACACCTTTAGGAAAAGCCCAAGGCAACCATGCAAATATTTAATTGTACAGTATTTATATCTGCCAGGTTACATTTTATATGACCAAATTACCACCTGAACTGGAAATTAGTTCCATGCATAACAGGCATGTTGAGAAAAGGATGTGGAAGCTGAAGATCACAGTATTGGTTCTGCATAACAGAAAGGAGAAAATGAAGCAGAGATGGATGGAGCTCTGTGCTTCTGGAAGAACCTGAAACACTGTGAGGTAATGAGCAGGACACCCATCGACTTGGTATCCGGTTCTTCTGCGATGAGAGGCAGACACAGGTGGTGATTGCACAGGGGTAGTCAACACTGTGAAGTTCCTGCTACAAATGACTCTAGAATAAGTCAATAAATAAGTTATTTATGCATTAAACTATTATCTTAAATTCACTGGTATTAAGTAACTTTTGAGTTCACTTTCAATTTTTGAAATAGTAGTTTTTCGCCCAGGTGTCCCGCACCTTCACCATTACACTGACTGCCAGATGTCTTGGAAAGTTCTAGAATTACTTTCAATCGGTAAAGTGCTTTAGAGTACTTTATTTGGCTATTCTCCTGTCATTGGCCACACGGTCTGGAAATGGAGGTGCACCGCTCAAAATGGCACGTAAATGTGGATTTTGTTTCGCACTCATACAGTACATACACACAAAAGCATTTTCTGTTGAGAACCGTGCACTTTGCATTCCTTTCGCTCCTGTCACCTTCTCACCCTTCAATCACAGACTGATTTCATATTTCATTTCAAGCAGAAGACAATCTGCTTCACATCTCAGATCAGGATGGTCCAATATCACGTTGCATGCTTCACGAAATCTGGGCGGTGACCCTGCTAAATAATCCAGATGGGAAAAACAGAATGCTTTTTCACAGAATGCAGCTTCTAGTTAGCCCGAGAAGCAATATGCATTAAAATGTAATTTGCAGCAAAGTAACAGAGTACTAATGTCAGCAGAGGTAGTATATGCCTACTTCATATACAAGTAGTATGGAAAATGGATGTGTGGTTCACAGGATGGTACTTCTGATTGTTTTAGGTCTGTTAAGCTTCTCGAGCTCACGAGTCTTGACCCTGAAAGTTTTCCATGAATGGAAACACATGCATGGTGTCTTACTGTAATTGCATCACTGACCGCAGACATAAGGAAACATCATTATCTCCCAGACTGTCAACAGCAATTGTCCACTCAAAGCAGGATTGTTGCTTTAAATAAATCCACACACGGGCCTTAACCATATCACAGCCCGGTGCTGTGAACACAGGCACCAGCGAAGTGGGGCCTCAGAACACAGAGCCAACCCGCTTTCTGCAATTAACGAGCACGACGAGGGGAGGGATGTGTTGTCACACTGGCCAGATGTCGCCGAGCAAAAACTGCTTGCGGATGTTGATCTGCAAGTTGCATAAGTGATGGGACACAGAGGAGGGCGGTGGGATTAGCGCACGCTGCCAGTGATTGACAAGGTTTAACCCCCTTCCCATTCACTGCATAGCTCCTGTTTTCCCTGTTATAAACAGCACAAAGTAATCCGGCACACAGTGGGCTTCAAGGCCCCCTCTTCAGCATCATTACACACCATCTGAATGTATATCTTTGAGCTCTAAGTCTGTTAGATTTTAAACCTTATTTACATTACCAAGTGTGTTTGATGTTTTATTTTAGTTTCATCCAACCATCCATCCATCCATCCATCTTGCGTATTTTTGTAGTACAAGGTCAAAAGTTTGTGTTTCACCGAAAGCAAACTAAAACTTCTCCCAATTCACAGGTCTTGTCACTTCTGCTGAAGGAGTTCACTTTCAGTAGCGTTTGCAGTGGTACAACCCAAATGGCCCTTTACAGGCATTCTGTTCCTTCACTGGTCCATTTCCATGGAAACAGAAACCCATTGTCTTTTTCTGTATTTTTTTCCATGGACTTGTAGGAGACATACAGATGAAACAAAAAGACCACAAATGAGATGAAAGACAAGTTCACAAGAGCAGTTTAATACGAGTTACATCATGGCACCATGTGGCATAACAGTGTGGAGCCCATGTAACTTAGGCTCTGAGGACAGCACTGCCCTGGGGCACTGTCTGTGAACCTGTTGACCCCTGATGGGCCAGCTCTCTCAGTGCTGATTGGCCACACAGCACTAGCCAATCATCAGTCTTGGATGTGGACAAGCAGTATGATTATCAGTTTAAGACAGGGTGACCCCTGGATATTCCATCTAGAGGTACGGACCACGTTTGACTCACAACAATCCTCTGGAATTTAATTTTTTTATTGTTTTCCGAGCATTATTTCAGGTTGAGGGTGAGTCACAGACTCCTTAATTGTTTTTTTTCCAGATTATTTGCCTAATAGCAACAAAGGATTCAAAACCCCTTCATGTGTAACCTCAGAACTCTAAATAGCCTCATTTTATTGAAATGCACCTCATTACCTGAGGCCACAAGAAAGAAATCTTCACACTCTCCAATTTTCAGATGCAGTGACAGCTGTTAACCAATATCCTAAACTCTTAAAAATAAATGAAACGCAATTATGTTTTTATAGGCCTATATTTGGCCCGGGGAATTCCATGCGATTCTTTGTAGCGTTACATTTCTTTGGAGTGTATTCAAACCATTCGCGATTTAATTACAAAGCCAGCTTCTTTCCAATAAATAATCTGTGAGGTATCCTTTGCTCAGATATTTATGAATTTTTCATGACTCATTTTTTCCTATAAATATTTCTTTTTGTAAGTTGTGCCTCATATAGCCTAAGGAATGGGAGAGCTGTACGAAGCAGAAACGACAGCCTCCCGTCTGTTTTCATACGTTGAACGAAGATACCCGGAAGTCCAGCAAAACCGCAAACGCCGCTTTTAAAAAGCTGCACCGAATGAACATGCTAGCTGGCTGTAGCTAATGGCACCGTAGCGTTCACACTATCGTTTAGTGCTGTTGTATTATTATCTGGCGACGTTATTAACGACCTGCTATTTAAGGTAAATGAGTGCTTTTGTAATTGTTTTTGTTTCCTTAAGACACACATTTCAATAATAGCTCGTCCAGTCCGATTAATGGCAAAATGTCCGAAGGGGTTCGCAAATATTTGTTATTTAAAAGCCACTTATCATGCCTCCCATCGCAAACATGAAATACAGTGCGACCCATCTGGGTCTGCTCGGTTAGGAGACCACCAAGTTTGCTCCAGATTTAGCAGGTCTCTTTGGAGAACATCTCAGCTTGAGATTATGATTTAAATACACAGGAATCTACATGGGTTTAGCTCGTGACGTGTGCCTGAGATTAATGTCTAAAAAGAGTGTAAAAACCGACGTTGGTTATTTTTACCGTAGCCAAACCAGTATCCAAGCAACTCGAATCAAGACACTCCCCAGCCCTCATGGTCCGTCGTTCTATTTTAATCATATGCGCGATATATACAGGCGAGTTTATCAGTCTGAATCGCGCAAAGAGGAAAAATAGGAGAAACTTGGCCTAAAGGAAATGCATCTGGTGATCTGATTTTTACAACTAACCTAATGCAGAGTACAGAGGTAGCCTAAGAGAGCTTCCTGATCACTGGCATCTGCTTTTTGTCTTGAACATGTCTGAGATTCAATTTAAAAAATCCCAAGTGAAGAGGGCAATAATTCTTAAATCAACTATTTATTTATTTATTTTGCATACGTGTCAGTTATATTTGTTGTTTTACTATTCAGTGTGCAGGACAGCCAGTTTCGTATTAAAGCCGGTGAGATGGGTGCGTATAGCAGGGCCTGTTAGCTCGCGAACCGTGTAAATAGCCCCTTGTGTAATTATTGTTGTAAATAGTTGTGCTGTGTCTTTGGTTTATTTAAGTGTTTTTACCTGTGTGTGCCCAGATTTGTGCCAGTTACTTGCGTGTTTCTGTGCCCTCTGTAAATAGTTACCGTGTGTGTGCCATACAGCGTATCAGATCTCCTTGTGTTTTCCAATTATATTATTTGTTTTGGTGTTTGTTTTTGGTCTTTTGAAGGGCTGTTATTAAGAAGTGATCTTGTTGAAACTCGCCATGTTGTGGCTGCTGTAATACATTGGTGGTGTCAGAAATAGGATGCCTGAAGCAATCCTGCTGGAGCCTGGTCTTCATACCATCGTTTGGCAGTCCTGCTCCAGCCTGGCAGACCTGCAGGCGGCCGTGGAGAAGTGGCGGTTTCACAGCAAGACCAGCACAGAAGAAAAAGCTCATCTGCTGGGGCTGCAGCAAGAGGGGGAACTGGCTTCTGCCCAAGCCTGTTGACAGACGCGGGGTTGTCAACTTTGGCCATCTGGCTGGTGTGAGATTTTCAATTCGAGACAATTCTGTACATGCATTTACATGTATGTAACAGTTTAATTACCTTGTAAACAGTCTGAAAGATTTACAAACTGATGTAGCTAATTTTAGGTTTATAATGGAATAATTCAGATTTGCTATAGCATCTCTGAAAACATGAGTGTCCGCGCCAGATGTGTGAGAGCTGGCAACCCTGCAGATGAGATAGCAGTAGTACTGTGAGGGAGGTGTTGTCCTATTCTTCTGAAGTGCTCTGGATTCATGCAGTGTGTCCTCGAGTTATTCCTGCCAGCATACTGGTCACCGATCTGAGACGATGTCGGTGACTAAAGAAGGCAGGGACTACTGCGGACTCCGAACACTCACCACCCATCGAGGGCTTCTGACTCTCCAGCTGCGATGAGCCTCAGTGTGACCCCAGCTACAACCGCAACCAGCAGAGGCAGCAGGCTGAGGCTGTTCTGCTCGGCCGCGAAGAGGCGTGCCGTAGATGGGAGGCCCAGCTGAATCGGGAGCTTTGCGAGTTGGACGAGCAGTGGGAGGCGGACCGGCAAGACAAAGAGTGGCTGCGTGAGTCCCGCAAAGCAGGAGTGGCATGAGTTGGAGCAGCTGTGCGACAAACTGACCAGCTAGGAGCAAGCGCGCGACAGCCAGAGGCAGTAGGCTGTTAGCCGAAGCTTCGCTACTTGGCTAGGGGGAGGTGTGTCGCAGCTTGGAGGACCGGAGAAGGGGTGGTGCTCCCTGGAGAAGCTGCCTGAGCAGCTAGCTTGTTAGCTTGGGGCAGGAGGCCAAGGAGGATACACTACTTTACCATGAGGGGGCATGCCTCACTCTGGAAGCCCAGCTGGCTGAGGAATGCCATGAGCTGGAGGAGCAGTGTGGCCAGTATCATCTGGACTTGGAGCTGCTGTGCCAGGCCACTCGATATGGGGAACAGGAGGGGCAGCAGGATCTCTCTAAGCTGTGTAAGGGGAAGGGGAAGGTGCCAATTGGGACCTGCAATGCCAGGACCCACCAGCAGCCCAGCGTCTGCCAGCCTCCCGGTCTCATCAGCCTTGCCAGTACTCACGAGAGGGCAGCTCCCCCCATCATCTGCACTGGTGGCTGCAACCGGACCACTAGGACTTGTTTCAGAACTGAGATTGGGACTGGGTGTGATCACTGGGATGGTCGACCTTTGAGGGGGGCCCAGTGTAGACCTCCTTGTGTTTCCCCGTTAATTGTGGTTCAGAGTGTGATTTCCATTTGTGTTAGACCTTTTAAGAGCTATCATTAAAGAGCCATCTTGTTGAAACTGTGTAGCCTTGTCTCATCCCTGCCACTGCGTTGCCTTGGTCTGCCAAGAGCTACAGTATATACTTCCAGGAAACGCACCAAAGAAGAAAATGAGCTGAAAGAGCACCTCCTAGACATCCGTTCAATATATGGCACAAAGGAAGCTCACTCAAATGAAGTTTTAATTCAATAGAAATACCATTGTTTTGTTCTCATCTTTCTCTCAGTGCAGTGGCTTGTGCATGCACAATGGATGCTGTGTATGAGAGGAGCTCTCATTAAACACCTAGCTATTTAATAGCCAGATGCATTATTTATGGCTAACTAGCTTTGGGCACCGACTCTATGTGCTTCCCCTGCTTATATGTCATTGCTGGCATTATGCGGCACAGCGGCAAGACTCATTTATGTTTGATGAGCCTGTTTTGCTGACGTCACGGTCCGCGGCCCCGGGAGCGTCTGTTGGGGCAGCCAGACAAGGTCTCACTTTAGTGAGGACGACACGGAGAGCTCAAGGCTACACTGCGTGTTGGGCGTCACTAGCAGTGCGTCAGTTCAGCCTCCGTGCTCTTGTATGTGGAATTAAAAAAAATGTTTTTCTGTGCACTTCAGGTACCAAAGTGCTTGTAACCAGAATGTTGCAGATTCAGTCCCAAGTTGAGACTCTGTTGTTCACCCTGAATTACTTTTGTAAATTAAATCCACCTGCATAACGAAAAAGCCGTTTTCTACAGCCTATGAATAATTGGGACTTATAATTAATAATTTTAATGAATTCTGAATTCCATAGACAAGATTTGTTAGTTTTCCTAAGAGCACATAGCTAATTTATGGAATCACTTATGAAGTTTGTGATGTAAGGAGAGAGAGCATTTGAAGACTCAGCTCCCATAAAAATAGAAATGGTCTGTAAGATCAACATCATTCAGGAGGGTTTGTTCTTTGTGGCCTTCAACATGCCCTCTATGGTGAGGAGCAGATCGAACTCCTTCCAGTAAAACACACCCACGCCACGACAGAGCCATCAAGACGGTTCATTAAGAAAACATGCACTCAAGCCTCTGCACCATTTTACAGGCATGTGCCGTTTTTTTGGGGTTGCTCTACTGCAGTGGTTCTTAGGCTTTTTTTGATCAAAGGACCCCCCCCCCCCCATGTTTGGGCCCCCCCTACACAGGTCATGATATTGTTTCCTTTTTATGTGTTCTGCAATGATGACAGCAATGGGTAATGTTTATTAATTTCACTCCACTACGTCCAACAACACATTTTAATTCACAGTTTATGACATTGCTTTTAAAACAGAAAGTTAATGTTTATGAACAAAGAAACTACATTTAAAAACTATTTGGCAAATGGCTCTAAGATCAGAAGCCTAAAAACCATTAAACGTGCGCTTAATAGCTTTCAACAATATAATGCAAACATTGCAAATTACAATATTTTTAACAATGTTTTGAAATTAAATTAACCAAGTAGCAATGACCCTCCGTCAGCTTCCCCGTGAGATGCTGCTGACTGAGTGCTTTGATTTTAGCTGTGAATTCTGGGATTCTGTGTAATGTTATGACCAAAGCTCTCACGTTCTTTACAACCAGGACGGCATGCTATTAGCTTCTAATAAAATGCAATCATATTGCAGAGCTAGCAGAGTAGATTCTCTGTTGGGTCTTTTGGCAAGGCCCTTAAACCTAATTGTTCCAGGGACTGTCTGTTTCTCAGTTGTATATTACTTTGGGTAATAATAAATAATGCATTTGGTATGCACATTGTTTTGAGTGATTCTTGATCTTTGTCTGAATTTTACCTACGATTCTTAGATTATGGTTTGTGGCTCTTATGCCAGAGTATGATTTAGTAAACTTGCTAACTCTTCACTCAGACCTAAGCCCCACAAACTAGCTACAGAAAAACCACTGTTCAGCACAAATGCAACATTATCTAATATGAAGGTCTTATTTACATAGAATAGCTGAATTATACTGACGAGCATTTAACATTAGACAGAAAGATGTTATCCTAGCAGTGCACCTGCGTGACGTGGCTTCACCACTTGTAGAATTTTACAAAAGTAGTATAATAACAGTATTGCTTGCACGATAACTTTCAGGTACAACGAAGGGCACAGTGACCAGGTGGATGGATGGCGTCAGAACACTTCCTCAATCTTTTGCCTTCTCCCTCTTGCTGATTGTGCTCTGCAGCTGTCATCGAGATGCACATGAATTTTTCATCCTCCTATCTGTGGCGTTCTTTTTGGACTGAGCTTTTTTCGTCCCTCTCCTTGAGGGGACCACCCACCCTTTACATCTTGCTTCACCCTTAGTCATCTTCCTTCCCTGATGCGAGGAGGGGGACACAGATTTCCCCAGGTGCCCCTCAGGACCGTAAATGCTGTCGCAGGTTTCATCCACATACCAAATCGTCTACTATCCTTAATAGGGACAAAATTCATTTTTCCATTAGGAAATGAGGAAGTATGTTCAGGTGGTACTTATAGAGAACAACTGTCGTTTAATTAAGTGTCCTCAATTCTGTAATCTTTTGTGTAACAAAAACGTCACATGTCTGATCATCTTTATTAATGTTCCAGGCCAGCACGGTGGCTTAAAACTGTTTTCAAGAAATAGTCATTGTTGAAATTGATTTGTTCATCATTAAAATATTTTTACTGAACTAAATAACAATAATATATCATCCTACTGGCATGTGACAAATTCAGCATATTCCAGATTTATTTAACTGATATCAAATATCTTTAAGTGGAGAGCAAATTTCCCAAACTCACTCCATTATTTGTTGTTTTTTGAGATGAGACTGCCACAGACCTACAGTCAGGCTTCCTCGTCATGTGTCACAGCATTGGGGATCAAATCTTACCCATTCCTCATGTAATCCGACAAAGAACTTTCATTAAATGTCCAAAACTCACAAAGTGCACAGAAATCTTCTCAAAAAAATGATCTTGCAGACTGAGTGAGTTTTGGACACTTGATCTTCAGCTCTGGTTACCATATTTAGGTAATTGATTTACCATGAATGGAATCATTTGGAGATAAATTTTAGGTTGAAGCAGCATGTGTATTTGTGAGCATTGACAAATGATGTAACTTAAAATACTATGTGATACATCATTTAGTGCACAGTTTATACCATAATTCAGTGGTTAGGAACATTTTTCTCCCCAGAAATTCACTCTGTAACCTGACAGTTTAACGCAGGCTGTCACCCGGACCTCTCTCGAGTATCCCATAAACAGCATTAGACAGAACACAACTATGATGAACAGAAGAAGATTCAACACTTTCCACAGTAAATGAAACACACTGCAGACAGTGTGAACAGGAGGGCTAAAGGGCCTACAGAGAGTGAGAATTAATCAATCACTGATACAATCAGTCAGGGAAAATGGATTGTGATTCATGAATGTAAATATACTGATAAAACAGTAAATATAATTGGTAATATATAAACAATAACTTATTTATCTATGACCTGACCCACTGAAAATGACCGCTCTGCATGTTTTGTGTGCTCGTCAGCGCTTGTTTTTGTTCGACAGACAAAGCAGGACGGCTATTCTGTGGCAGGCACTGCTGCTCTTAATTTGCCTATTCAGAATGGCACGGAAAGCGATTTCCTGGCATTAAACGCCGCCGAGGAATAGAGGAATACAGTCTGTTGTCAACAGCAGCGCGCCCTGCCAGCGTGCTCGAGTGACAGCGGAGGGGAAACATCTCAGCTGACGCCGCCCTGCGTCAAACGCGACAATTAAATTTTTATCCTGCTTTACTTCACCGAGATCATTTGGGATTAACACCGGCCCGGGTTTACTGCTCCGGGTGCCAAATGAATTTAGGCCCATAACAGAGAGGTTCTACCTCATTATGTGTTTCAGCACAGAAGAAAAGATGGGAAATGTTTTAGCATGTTTTAGCATGTACAGCTAGAATGCGATATTAGCCATCAGTGGAGGATTCATCTTGGCTGATAAAGTATGTTCTGTCCCGGCTACATTGTTCATTTAAATACGATGGCCAATCTTATCCGCAAAGGGCCGGTGTGTATGCAGGTTTTCGCTGCAACTCCCTAATTAAATTACTAATTAGAGGACTGATTGGCTGAAGAGTCCTCACACCTGGGTTTGAACAGCTGACCCAAAAGGTTTTCCCAAAAACCTGCATACACACCGGCCCTTTGTGGATAAGATTGGCTACCCCTGCTCTAGACAAAGACCTTTTTGCCTATTTACAATAGCTACATATTGGGGCACAGTAGGGGCAAGGATACCTTGGCAGATTCAGGCAGCCCCAAAATATGTAAAGTTATGAATTTATTAGGTGACATTTTATCAGGGGGGCTGGAATTTCTACCAACCCCCCAGTCTTCCTATGACAAGTGGCCCATACTTACACTGGCAGTCTTAGTAGTGTGCATTTAACCGTGCCTTTAAACATTATGCTACCCCCTGGAAAGAAAATGGTGATTCTATAAAAACGTGTGTATAAAATAATGTAATTATGCTCTTACTTATGTATTGATTATCCACAAACTAAGTCTTAATTACATACTGATCTCATGTTTCTTCATCATTAATGAGTCGTGATGCATCTTTTTTTTTATCTCATGTAGTGACTATTATTTGTACTTCAGAAGTAACTGAGTTACTAATAAGTATTTGTGCCCCTCAAGTAATGTGTTACCCCTTTTATTTTGGACTGCTATTATTGCTCATTGCAATACTCTTTCTCATATATTTCAGTTATTTACTGATGACTGAGTGCAGTACACACATATATATTCCATATGCATTTTTTTATAAGAATTATTTACGTATGTAAGCCTAAATGTGCATGAAAATGCTATGATTGTAAGTTATTTATGTTCCGGAATCTGTTACTAAATTTCCTTGTACTTGTGTGACCCACTTGCAGAATGACAAATAAAAATCCTTGATCCTTGTGGATGACATGGGTAATTTGTAAATATGAATCTCATTTGCAGTTACACAATGTCATT